AAGACTTTACTACACCAATGCCTCAAAAAGCCTGGTTACAATATGCCAGGCAACACCTAGACACAGGTCACAGCTTCTGGCACACTGTAATTTAGAGTAATGAGACCAAAATAGAGCTTTATGGTTACAAAAAATACCATCCCCACTGTGAAGCATAGTGTTTGCTCACTGATGTTTTGGTGGGGTGTGAGCTCTAAAGGCACGAGGAATCTTGTGAAAATTGATGGCAAGATGAATGCATCATGTTATCAGAAAATACGAGCACACAATTTGTATGCTTCTGCACGAAGGCTGTGAATGGGACGCTTTTGTACTTTCCTACATGACAATGATCCTAAACACAAGGCCACGTTGACCCTCCAGTGGTTACAGCAGAAAAAAAGTGAAGGTTTTGGAGTGGCCATCACAGTCTCCTGACCTTAATATCATCGAGCCACTCTGGAGAGATCTGAAATGTGCAGTTCATGCAAGATGACCAAAGACTTTGCATGACCTGGAGACAAATGGGCAGCTACACCACCTGCAAGAATTAGTGGTCTCATAGACAACTAATACAAAAGGCTGCACCTGTCATTGATGCTAAAGGGGGTAATACACAGTATTGAGGGCTAATGGTATGCATACTTTTGAACTGGGGTCATTTAGTTTTTTTCTTTGTTGCCATGTTATGTTTTATGATTGTGCCATTCTAGAGTTGACTATGCATCCCATAAGAGATAAAAGAAATGTGTTTTGCCTGCTCACTCATGTTTTATTTTAAAATGGTACATATATTACCAATTCTCCAAGGGTATGCAAACTTTTGAGCACAACTGTATATATATCAACCACAGTATTAGTAAAAAAAAAAAAAAAAACATTTCATAGAGCACAGGACATCTTTAATATTGATTGGGCCCTGGGCAAGCATTTGATGGGCCCCCTGGTCCAAGCCCTTCCCCAGGGCTCGAGTCCTGCAGGAATGCATGGGAACGCCGTTACCGTTAGTGGTCTTGCAGGACTTGTTTGCCCGCGAGGTAGGCAGGCGGTGAGGGAGCGCTGGTCTGTGAGCTCTCAATGCTCAGCTCCCTCGCACGCCGCAGAGTGATGCAGGGAGCCAGAATATGACATCATATAGCTGAGCAGGGAGAGCTCACAGATCAGCGATCCCTCGCCGCCCGCCTGGACCTTAACTGCCCGCACAGACCGGCCAGCAGCCCCACTGGACCCCAGGTAAAGAAAGAGCTGGGTGGATTTTAATAAAAATGTGTGTGTGTGTGCCCCTACCCACTTCACTACCCTCCTACCCACCTCACAGCCCACCATACAGACCCCCTACCCACATCAAAACCCCTCTACCCACCATACAACCCCTACCCACTTCCTTCACAGCCCCCTACCCACCTCAACCCCCTACCCACCATACACCCCCCTACCCACCATACAACCCCCTATCAATTTACAGACACCCCTATCCACCTCACAGTCCCTCTACCCACCTCGTAGTCCCTCCCCACCTTACAACCCTCCTACCCACCATACAGCCCCCTGCCCAAAATACAGACCCCCTCTCACAGCCCCCTACCCTCTCACAGCCTTCCTACCCACACCTTGTGACAGCCATCTCCACCCCGTCTCCCCACACACCGTCACAGCCACAAACCCTGTAACAGCCACAAACCCTGTCACAGCCCCTTCACACACCCTGCCACACCTCTCCACACACACCCTGTCATTCCCCCAATACATGCACCCTGTCACCCCCCACCCACCCCACACGCTATCATTCAAACACACTCTATCATCCCTATACACACACTGACACCCCCTCCATACAATATCACCATCCCCAATTACTTTCAGACTCCACACACTGTCACCCCTTCACCCAGCTTTATATATGCATTTGAGTAAATAATTCTTTTTAGGGGGGGAGGTGAATCTTGGGTGAGTTCCCACACTTTTTCCCCCAGGACTTGACCCCTGCCCTCCCCACACTTTCTGACATGCAATCACATCTTCCACTCCCCAATGCAGTGGTGGAACTAAAGTAGTTAGTGGTGCAATACTCTTTTTGGGCCCCACAATCACAAGGGTAGCCATCTCTCATGCAAATCCAACAATGCTTTGACAGCTGGGGGTCTACAATTTCCCCATGCTTGCAGAGTTGTATTTAGCACTGAGCAGTGTTTGTGCGTTTATAATGTAAGCAAGTTTTTGTATGGAGAATGTTTGTGTGAATAAACAAATAGGGTGAATAGTAGAGTTGAGCGGACACCTGGATGTTCGGGTTCACCAGGTTCGGCCGAACTTCGGCAAAAAGTTCGAGTTCGGACTCGAACTTGACCCGAACCCCATTGAAATCAATGGGGACCCGAACTTTTGGGCACTGAAATGGCTCTAAAAAAGTCCTGGAAAGGGCAAGAGGGCTGCAAAAGGAAGTAAAATGTATGGCCTAAGTACTAATATACTTACCCAGTGGAAGAAGAAGGTTACACTGTATACAATTTAAAAAAAAAAGTATACAAACATAGCCAGGATTCAGCTGTAAGCATTTGCAAAACTTACAACAATCAAGTAACACACATTCATATAAAATGTAAGTTACTTGGCCAGTCAATGTAATGACAGGAATTAATAAGTAGATAGCTCTCTAATACCATGGGAATTAAGGAGTTATCTACTAAAAGGCTGAAAGACCTAAATTGGTCTTTCAGCCACATTTACTAATACTAATACTAAGTAAAGATTACATAGTATTAGTAAATTCTGCCCCTACTCGCTATAGCGCGAGTAGGGGCATGTCTAGTAAACAGTAAGCAGCCAGTGGCTGCTTACTGTAAAAAAATTTAAATAAACCTATGGGGGCACTAAAGTAAAATAAGGGGGGGGGGGCAATGAGGGGAGGAACCTACTTCCTACTTTTTTTTCGTTGTTTTTTTTTTTTTTTTGCGCTCAGGTTTTTTATTTAATTTTAAGTTTGACGGGTATTATGTTTTTTTTGTTTGGCTTTTTTGGGGGCTGAAAAATGAATATTTTAGAAGAAAGAAAACATCAAATGGTAAGTTTTATTTTTATTTACAGGTTAGTTATTTTATTCCCCTCTCACTATTTTTAGGGTGAGGGGGGTAGGTAGGGGATAGATTTTATTTGGGTGGGGGGGATGGGTGACTAGGGGCTTGGGGACCCCTAGTCACCTTTGAAGGGGGGGGGTTTGTCTTATGGCCCCCACCCGCCACCCATAGGTGGGGGCCTGGGAGGACAGTAGGTCCACCTCCCCCTCATTATCTTTATGGCCCCCACCCGTCGCCAAGGGGAGGACACAGGGATGGGGGCCGGGGGGAGGACAGTAGGTTCCCCCCCTCATTATCTTTATGGCCCTCCTAATTGGTATTTAGGGCCCCCACCCACCGCTCAGGGGTGGGGGCCAGGGGACATTAGGTCGTTCCCCCCAATTTTTATTTAGGGCCTCCACCCACCGCTCAGGTGTGGGGGTCAGGGGGAGGACATTAGGTCCCCCCCAATTTTTATTTAGGGCCCCCACCCACCGCTCAGGGGTGGGGGCTGGGGGGGAGGACAATAGCTCCCCCCCATTATTTTACTTTAGGTTCCCCACCCACTGCTCAGGGGTGAGGACAATAGGTCCTCCTTTAGATTAAAATCCATAGGCTGCTCACTGTTTAATAGACATGCCCCTACTAGCTGGGTCACATGCTGCACTGACCAATCACAGCCATGCTATTAGTAGGCATGGCTGTGATGGCTTCTAAGGGCACACGAGTCAAACGCTTGTTGATTGGCTGCCCTAAAGCCTTTTAAAACGCGCCATTAAATCGCCAAACACCGAACTCCAACCTGAACATACATTGAAATGTCCGTGTTCGGGTCCGGGGTCTAAAAATCGTAATGTTCAGTACGAACCCGAACTTTACAGTTCGGGTTTGCTCAACTCTAGTGAATAGGTATTAACGGTAATATACGGATTAGATGCAATTTTAATGAAATATTGTCAGAACACAGTATATTTAGTAGCAGCTGAACATTCGTGTAAAACTTTTCCAAATAACACAGATAGACAATAAAAAAAAAATAAAATGCAGCACTTATAATAAATAATTAATAGTAATTGAATAAACACCTTTTAGGATAGTGAAAATTTGAACCTAGTTATCATACAGGTAATGTATCAGATGGAATAGGTTCCTATAAATATAGATAACACAACATAATGCAGATTATACAGATACAAATTTGGTATAAAAAATACGAACTTAGCTCTGGTATGGATAGCGTCCATGTCCGTACAGGCGACCCACCCCTACAGGTAATATGCGTTCTGTCCTAGGAAAGATAAACAAAACGCAAACAGTTGATGAGAAATGAATGTAAAATCAGACTGCCAAGTGGTTACTTACATACATGGAGCCTCTATGGCTCCATCGTAGCATGTTGTGCAGTTAGGGACTACACTCCCTTGTTGGTAGTAAGCAGCAGTGGAAAACTGGAAACCAGGATAAAAGTTAAGACGTTTATTCAACAATTATAAAAACAAATAAAAGGACAATGTCCATAAAAAATCCTGGAACGTGTTTCACTACTGTTTGTAGCTTCCTCAGCCGGATCAATAGTTCATTGTATGCAAGTACCCACTTGGCAGCCCGATTTTACGTTTATCTCTCATCAACTGTGCTACCCTATGTTTGCATTTTGTTTATCTTTCTTAGGACAGAACGCATACTACCGGTAGGGGTGGGTCGCATGTAC